AGATTAACGGACCAAGGTCCGCGAACTCCAGGCCAACGCCAAGGGAGGACCAATCGACGTCGTTAGGAACCCCCATATGCTGAAGATCATTCACTACACCATCTTCTTCATCCAACTCCTGCATTCCACGACGAACCAACTCACTACCCCGCTCCTTCATCTTACTCTTCGTACGACGAATNCGAGCCAGGCGGCTCACCGCCTCAGAAAGCTTGACTTGCAATTCGGAAAGCTGAGATTGAAGGGACTCCAAGGCTTCGCCCGCAGCCTCTTCCTCCGCTTCCAGCTTCTTTTGCTGATCCAACACTCTCATTACTAAAACCAGAATGTCAGCAATACAAACAAACATGGGAACAAAGCTCACCCACAAGAAGAAGCCACCAGGACTCCATCGCAAGAACGACCGCGTTTAACACATTCATAACAACGAGAAGAATCCTCCACCATTCGACAGGGAATCTTCTTCCGAAAGCAATAAGTACATGGCATATCGGAATCAGAACCGTGAGAAAGAATAAACGACGCAAGAAGGTTGCGCTCACGGGTTTTGCGAGGAACTGACTTGGATACTCGATCAGTCATCACGCCATTATTTAAGGAAGCAAGTTATGGACAACAGGAATGGGAAGAACAGACGTACTTATGGATCGTAAGGACTAATGCACGCTTGGCCTTGAGGACAAGACCAACGAAGAGGGGGCATCGTGTTACGACCCAACAACCATAAGATACGTACCCACGGATAAACTACGGACCGATGGGCCAATCAGAAGGGGATCACTCGTAGAAGCGTGAGCCATCCCTGATGGATCACGAACACCAAAGTGAGCCACCCTAGAAGGATCACGATTGAAATCGTGAGCCTCGTGGAACGACTTACTATATAAGAACCGTTCATTACGCTCATTAGATAGAACTTAGATAGTCAGTCGTTAACATAGCACTCTCAGATAACAATCAGATTGGTTATTCATAACCTCGTTAGCTACGTGACTGCATCGCTCATAAGACTCCAACTCATCTCTCTGCCAACATAAACCCGACGTTGAGTTTATAGATTGGGAACCTACCCTATACCTAAGTACGATAGTATAGGTCAGGACGTCACAGGTAGTTTATATACCTTAATGTACTACTATAATTATACTATAATAAATGTCTTAAATTGCTTTTAATTATAGTTCCTCTAGTACCTAGATTTATTTACTCTATCTTAAGAGTTTATTAATTATAATTACTTCCTTAGGGAACTATTCTAGTTACTAATCCTTAATTTAATCCTTAATTTTATTAAAAATAGAATTATATTCTTCTATAATAAATAAAATATTAATTTTAATTTATTTATAATTCCCTTAATTATTTTTATGCAGGATTTATGCTTTAAATTTAAGAATTTCTTTAAAATGTTTTTCTTTTTAACTTAAAGCATTAGCTCTTCTATTTTCTATTCCTTTACAGTAGATAATCTTATAGTTAAAGTCTATTAAAAATTTAAAATAATAAGTTTGTTATATAAAGAGTCGCTGTATAGTTATAAAGTAAGATATATTCCAGTAGTCGGTGTAGACCTTAATCTTGTATTTATTTCCTAAGTAATAGTATTGCTATTTTTTAAATGCTTTAATGATTGCTAAGAATTCTTTATTATAGATGGGATATTTTAGCTCTAGACTATATAGTTTTCTAGAGAAGAAAGCTATTAGTTTAAGTCTTTTATTTTTATTTTATTGTCTTAAGGTTCCTCTTAAAGTAAAGTTAAAAGTATTTATTTTAATTTTAACAGGCTTATTTAGGTTATATATAGTAAGTATAGGTTTGCTTATAATAGCATCCTTAAGTTTTTAAAATATTAATTTTATTTTATTAATCTAAAATAGTCTCCTATTTTTTTATTTCTTCTTGCCCTTTTTATCTTCTTTAAGTTAAATAGCATTAGTTAGTGGTTTTATAATTTTACTGTATTTTTAAATAAATCTTTAATAATAGTTAGTAAGTCTTAAGAAACTTTATAATCCTTTATAAGTTTCTAAGAGTTCTTAATCTTAAATAGCAGCAATTTTATTTAAATTTATTTAAACTTCTCCTAGTATAATAATATATCTAAGGAATTTAACTTATTATATATAAAATTAACATTTATTTAGGTTAATAAAGAGCTTGGCGTCTTATAGTTTCTATAATACCTTATAGATATATTCTTTATATTCTTTTAATATCCTTAAGAAGATTAAGATATTGTTAATATAAGCTACTATAAAGTTATTTAAGTATTCTTTAAGAATAAAGTTAATTCTCTTCTAGAATAATGCTAGTATATTTATAAGTCTTTGTAGTATAACTAAGTATTTAAATAGTCTATATTTTATTTTAAAGGCAGTTATTTATTTATATCCTTCCTTTATTTTTATAAGTTTATAGGCTTCTATAAGATCTAGGGCTGTAAACCAGTTTATGCCTTATAATCTTTCTTTAATCTCAGTAATTAATAGTAAAGGCATTTTATCTTTAACTGTTATTTTATTAAGCTATTAATAGTTAATAATTAAATAAAGCTTTTTATTCTTCTTTAATATAAAGATAATAAAGTACCCTGCTGAAGAGTTTAACACCCTAATGTATCCTTTATTTAATTGCATTTATAGCTATTCTTTAAGTGTTTTAAGCTTTATTTTATTAAAATTGTAGATCTTATAGAGCTTTAGTAAAGTTCTATCTTTAAGAATAATCTTATGGTTTTATTTTAAATAAGGTAGTAGTCTTTCTTTAAGTACTTGTTAGTATAATTTTTTATACTTTTAATATTATTGTAGTATTTTAGCTAAAGGCTTATCTTTATTAGCTTTAGCTTATTCTTTTGCTTTTACTAGTATTATATTAAATTTAGCTAGTTTTATATAATATCTAGCAATAATTTTATTAATTTATATAATTTTTGCTTTCTATTATTAATTATTGTATTATAGTAGTACTAGTAATTTTTTAAGGTTAAACCTAACTTTTTTATATATTTTTATTTTCTTAGCCTTATCTTTTTTATTTTATTTATTTTTCTTTAATTGCGCAAAAGGTTTTAATTATAGGTCTATAAGTATATCTTTACTTTCCTTACCCCCTTCCTAGCCTAGTTATAACTTTAAGGAGATATCTTCTTCTTAAGTTATCTTTTTTATTTTTTAGTTAATTATAGAGTTATATTTTTCTAACCATAGGTATCCTAGCAGAATATTACAGTCTCATAGGTCCAGTATATTAAACTTAATATCCTTAGTTTAGTTAATAACTATTACAGGGAGATAATTAGTCTTATAGGTAATAGTTATTCCTGTATTTATGCTTATAATGCTAAAGACAATTAATAATGTCTTTTTAACAATACATAGTATTCCTAGCCAGTCTACTAGGCTGTCAGCAATTAAGTTATAATTTAAACTACTATCTATATAAATCTTAACTAGTTGCTGGTTTAAATATCCATTAATTACCAGTTTCTTTTTTAATATTTTAATTAAATTAATAATAATTATATCTAAAGAGCTTTTTTACTATATCTTAAATTAATATTTTTTATACTATTAGCATTTAATTTAATTATTTTATTCTTTAATTATTTAATAATATTTCTTAATTAAGATCTTATTTCCTTATCCCTTGTTTAAGTAGTTATTAAAGTTATAGTTTCTTTATAAGAGTTTTTAAGTTATTTAATAAAACTAGTATTTCTCCTTACAATATCTTCTATAGTATTATATATTGCAGTCTAGAAAGTAATCTATTAAGCAATCTTATACTTTAACTCTCTTTAGTCATTTACTCTACCAGTCTATTAATTTATTAAGCATATGCCTTTAGCAGTATATATTATTACATTCCTTTCAGTAATGTTTTCTATAATTTTTATTAAAAGCATTAAGGATATTGTAAATTAAGATGTAGGTATAGGCGTCTTTAAGGTCTAGTTTAATAGCCTTTATTTATTTTTATGCTTATTTTAAATTTATCTTTTGTAGTAGATGTTCTTTAAAATACTATTGTCTTTCTTTTTATTTTTCTTCTTCTTTTGCCTATGCTCCTAAGACATACATACAGTTATATTCTTTATTTAATAATTTATAAATGTTATATCCTTTGCAGTTATAATTAAAGTCCTAAGAGTAACAGAGGTTATATTAATATATATAAAATAGGACTAATTTATTTAACCTTTATAGTTTTTTATAGTAGTAGTTTATATTCTATAAATAGTATTGTAGGCATTTATATATTTTTCCATTAAACTTTAGGCAGGTTTTATTATATTATAGTTCCTAAAAGCTACATTAATAATATTTATTATTGTTAGTATTATTGCTGTTATATACATTTTTAAAGGTAACTTTATGTTTTACAAAGGGGTGCGTATTTAAAAGGGTATTAATCTACTGTTAGTGTTTTTTATTAATTTTATAGAAGCTGTACTTATAGATTCTTTTAGTTTTATTATAGATAATTTTATCTTTACTAGTTTCTTTATCCAGGAGTTTCTATTTCTATTCTTTAAGATACTCCTTAGCTAATCTATTTTCTTCTTTAAAGAGTTTATATATAGCTTCTATATTTTATCGCTATTTGCCTTTACAACTATATTAATATCCTTCTATAGATCTACAGTTAAGGCATCCTTAGCATTTATAGTTAGGGTTTTATAAGTAGCAAGTATTATAGTTATAGTTTTCCTTCTACATCGCTGCTTATTTTTTATTATACTTATAAATAGTATTAATAAATCTATAGTATTTATAGATTAATTTTATACTAAAATCTAAGTTTCTATTGCTAAATGGTTTATAGGAGGTTAAAGTATTAATTTTAACTTCCTTTTAAAATTTTATTTTTCTTAGCTTCTTTAGGTAGTATTTTAATCTATCTTTATTACTTCTATATATAAGGCATGTATTATTATAACAGGCAGTCTAACTAAGGCTGTTATAAGGTAGTTTAGTAATAATGTTTATTTAAACTTTATTAGCCTTATTATTCTATTCAGGGTTTTTCCTATTTCCTTTCTATTTCTTTTTAAAATAGCAGTATGCTTCTTTATAGCCTAGTTTACTATAAAAATAGCATTTTCCTTTAAACTTAGTTGCCTTAATAGTATTAAAGTCTATTTATCCTAGTCAGGTTCCATTGTCTTTTATAATATATTCTTCTTACTTCTTGCCTTGGTTTATATAATGTTAAGATTTCTATTAAGAGGTTAATTAATAGCTATATTTCTTTAGTTTGCGTTTTTAGCTTCTTTTAAAATTGCAGTTATTAATGTTAATGGCCTTCTAAATGTATTTAATAAATTTAATTTTACTTTAATTTTCCTTAAATAATTTATCTTTAACTTTAGACTTAATACTATTATAATAGACTTTTTTCTTTATTTCTTTAGTTTAATTAACTTTAGTAAGCAGGCATAAAAAGGTAGTAGTATGCTTAAATAAAGCTCCTTTTTATTATAGAAACCTAAGTTCTTTTTCTACTTCCCGTTCTTTATTTATAGTTTTAAAGGATTTTTTTAATTAATCTTTAAAGGTTTTATAATTATTAAAAATCTTACTTATTTAAATCTTTATTTTAGTGGGTTCTTCCTTTATAGCGTTATAGTCTATTAAAATAGGCCTGAACTATTTAACAG